CTTCCCTTCTCAGTGGTACCTGCCTGGAGTTTTTGTTTCTTTTCTTTTTCTAAGCCATAATTTCCTATTTTTGCTGATCCTTCTGTGAAATCTCTTCTTTCTAGGTGCACTCGTATGCTGTCATAGAATTTTGGAGTCTCAGAATGTTTTGTAATGTACATGTAGGAAAGATTTAGTATTGCACATAAAAATATTGTATGCTAACTGCAGGGCATCTTCAAATAATTGGACTATGTTTATGAATATGAGTAATATGTATTTATATTACACTGGTCTATCAGAGTAAATCCTTCTGATAGAATGCTAAAAAATGTTAAGCACTGGAAACGGCAGGATAAGGCACTGGACTCCCACATGGCTAATCACAGTTCAAGTCCCAGACCTGGTGTCTTGAAAATCACTCGGGGCACATGTGTGTGCATGCCCAAAATCCCAGGAGGAGAATAGAGGAGTAGGGACCATGACATGGCCACCCCCCAAAGGGGGGTGATTTTTTACTTTCCTGCTCACTCTCTATCTGTCTCTCTCAGGTGAGTGTATACAGCAAAAACTTAAAAGAAAAATAAAATATTAAGAACATAGAAAGGTATGAATTGTCAAAAATACTTTTTATTCAGTAATAACTAATAATTATTTTTATTTTCTTTTACATCCTTTTTCAAATTTTATATAATAACATGGGAAAATATAAGTGCCGTTTTTAGTAATGAGAGGGACAGAGAGACAAGCAGTCCAACAGGGTCCCCGCGCCACGATCCCCTCCTGTCATGAGCACTCATGTGCACACCCGACGCGTGCAGCACGGTCTCAGGATGGATGAGAGCCTGGGCCTTCCCGTGCGGCTTCAGCGTCATGAGTGTTGCATGGCCGCTGGACCGCTGCCAGCCTCCTGCTAACCTTTGGGATGACTCTCATCTGGCCTGGGCAGTTCCTCACTCTCATGTCTAAGTGACAGGAAGACTGGAGTATTCTGAGGTTCTCAGTGCATGCCTGTCTGGCTCCCACCACCTGGGTCTCCTGGGACTCCATTCTGCCTCCTCCACGCAGGCTGCCAGGTTCTGCCCAGACTCCTTCAATCTGAAAACCCTTGGAAGACAGCAAGCTGAGGTCCTCCTCTGTCAGATGACAGGGGATCATTTTCATGTGGTGCTCTTGATTCTTAATTTTGTCTAATTTTTTTATTGTCTTAGGTGGGGAGGGGGTGAGTCCACTCCTTGTTACTCCTTCTGGCAGGAAGGAATAGGTCCCTGTGTGTCATTTTACAGCAAGCAAAACCACTCATGGGAATTCCAACTCCTCCCTGGAGTGAGACACATACCCCTCGTAGCTGGGTGGATGGTGTGAGATGGCGAGAGAAGCTCTAGTTTAGGTTTCGCAGACCAGACACGAGGGCCTGTCTCTGCTGCCACACTCAGCAGAGCCTCCACTTCCCATGTTACCAGGAAATGCATTTTCTAAAGGACTTTCTTTTTTAAAGGCAAGGTCTCTTTTTAGAGAATTATTTTAAACTTCTTATTATTATTTTAATATTTCCAGACACACACACACACACACACACACAGAGAAAGAGAGAGAGAGAGAGAGAAAGCAAGCCTTCAGGTTTGAAACTCGAACCACGGTTAGCCCTGTGGGAGTCCAGAGCCCTTAAAAAAAAACACCACCTGCCACCCCCAAGGCAAGGTCTTTAAAATGTGACTTACCTGCCTCAGCCTTCCACGTTGCTGGGACAACAGGCATGTGCCACTGTGCCTGACACTTAGGTTGGGCTGAGAACAGAACCCAGGCCTCCCATGCGACCTCAGCCTGTGGGGCAGCAGTGTCTCACCACCATAGCGGACCTGAAGGATATTTTTTGGGCAGGAGGAGGGGGATTTTTGTTTTAAGGTACATGGACTTACTGGAGAGACAGAAAGCAAGAAATCATGTCCCAGGAGGGATGGCCACACCACAATTCTTTCTTCTCCATTCTCCTCTGAAGAGTTTGAACACATATGCGCACACACCCAGGGTGAGTTTTAAGCCACCAGGTCCAGGACTTGAAACATGGTCGACTATGTGGGAGTACAACGATGTATCCATTATACTATCTGATGGTCCCTAAAGCATTTTTAAAATATGCTAATATAGTCCTAATACATAGTTTTGATTTAAAACTAGCGTTGCTTTCCTTTTTGTCTTTACCTAGGGATATTTGCAGCTTGCACGTCAGTTCTAAGTGTGACTGAAGGCAGCGTCCCTGCTCAGCAAGGTTGCACTGAGGTCTCACCAAGGCCGGTAGTAGGCAGAAGTGCCAGATCCCAGAATTACTGATCTCCAAGTGTGGTGTATGTCCACATTTAGACTTACTTAAATTTCAGGCAAAAGTGGAGATACAGATCAAGTTGTCTACACCATTAGACAAGCCCAGCGAATCCTGAATGGAAAGTCCATTAGACAGACACCAGGGCACCATTCCTCAGCCTAACGCAGGTGCCCAGGTGATGAGCGTGGTCTTCACATTCAAGCCTCTGGTTTCATTGGGCTGTGAACCCAGCAGTCAGGCACTGAGCACCACTTTACTTTGGCAAATACACTGACTAGCAAATTGATTCTGAACTTCAGACTTAGATTCATTTACCTAGAGGTTTTCTTTGTTAGGAGCAAGGAAAGCAGAAAGAAATGCTAGTTATTTTTTCTTTTCCAAGAAGGTTTATTTTGTTTGTTTGTTTGTTTAGTTTCATTTTGTTTTCCCCTCATTTCAAGAGTGTAGTAGTCTTAGAATTCATTCAGTCAACTGCTGCTGGTGTGGCCTGAATGTGATCCCAAAGTTCACGTGTTGGAAACTTGAGTGTCGTCGTGACCGTATTGAGAGGGCGGAAACTTAATTCACCTACGGTATTGAGAGATGGGCTTTGGCACGTGATTAGGATTAAACAATGCCTTTAGGGTAGGGCTCCCATGACTGAATTCTGATGGCTTTACAAGAAGACCAGAGTGGAAAACACACACACAGAGGCACACACATTCAATCTGTCCTGCCGTGTGATGTCCTGTACCACCTCTGTACTCTATGGGGAGGATCCACGCTCACTAAATGTGACCCCTTCATCCAGAGGAGTTCCCATTCTGTGAGCTGAATAAATGTCTACTCCTTATAAATGACCCAGTCTGAGGTATTCAGGTAGGAACATTCTCCCCACATGGGTGTCCTGGACTGCTCTGGTGCCCCACATCCCAGCATTGGTCCCCACTCATCTTCTGTTTCCTGCTCCAGGGTGTCATCCAAGTCCTTGGTACCCAGTGTGTCACCACCACCTCTGAATGCAGCCAGGGCAGGGCTAAAGAGACAGGGACGACACTCTCACAACACAGTTTAAGGGGACATGGTGATGCGCACCTACTCAGCTGGAGGAGAACTGAAAAGCAAATTCCCTGAAACTTCTACTCCCACCGAAGAGCAAGAGAACGCGTGTTGGGACAGTCGATGCACTGTGACAGGGACAGAAATGATGTCACCTTGTAATGAAACTGAGAATGAAGGAAATGATGTCTTCTCATATCAGTTTTGGGTGGGAAGGGCTGTCTTATCTCACACTCACAATTAACAAGCCTACCAGTATATCAAGAGCCCAGGTGCCCAAAGAACAGATGATTGACCGTCCCTTTAATAACTGTCATGAAGACACAGTATTTTAAACACTTTGCACCCTCCCGCCCACACCCAAGATCGTCTTCACCACAAGCTGCAAGTTTTCTGCTCCCGCCTTCCAGCTGTTGACTAGAACTTCCCTCCTGTGTGACCAGGGGGACTGGAGCGGCACTCATCGGACAGCCAGTGTGCACCGTGACAGGGACTAGAAAGCCACAGCGGGGCTAATCACTCACAAGCACTGGTGCTCATTTTTTCAGGCTGCCAGGGTACACTTTCCAAAATGCTTAAAGTAAAGATAATAATATAACTAGATATTGCATTGCAAAGACTCTTACGCCACTTACCAGCTTGAAAACACATTTTCAACAGAAACCAATTATATATTTATATACATACGAACATTATGTGTAAATGACCTACAGCGACTTGAAAAAGAGTATGTTGTTAATACTAAACATTATTATGATTTAAGATTCCCTATGGTAACCCTGACAAGGTGCTACATTTAATATGTGGGGGTATTGCCTTCTTAAGATAATGGCAGATAGGATAAAAAGTTTATAGAATTGAGGTTATCTTAGAACTGGAAGGAGGCCCAGCAGCAGTGGTGCACACTGCTACGACACTGTGCAAACAGGCTGGGACCAAACGAGGGGCATGGGTTCAATTCCTGGTCATACCTAAGGGCCAGGCAAGATGGCATGCTAGTCTATCTCCCCAACTAAGGAGTCTGAAGCAGGAGGATCTTGAGCTCAAGCATGGTTTAAAAATGTGGTAAGACTCTGTCTAAGAAGAGTCAGACATGGTGCAGGTGCACACCTGCACTCCCAGCTACTCAGGGTCATGACACAACAAGACCCTGCCAAAAAAAAAAAAAAAAAAAAAGGCAGGGTAGAAGCAGATGGCAGAACAGTTATATCACTGGATTCCCACATGGCTGGCTGCAGTTTGAATCCCAGACCTAGTAGCTTGAAAATCATGCGGAGCCCATATGTGTGTGTCCAAGATCCCAGGGGGAGAGTGGAAGAGAAGGGACTGCAGTACGGCCACTACCACCAGAGGGTGATTTCTCACTTTCCCTCATTGTGTCTGTCTCTCTCCAGTGAGTGCTCATACTCTAAGGCAAAAACCTCTAAAAAAAAAAATATGTAAATAACTGGAAGGAATTGTTGGTAATCGCTTCACTCAATCCACTCATTAAGACAGAGAATTATCATCACTTCTTAGCTCAAGTCATATGGACTCTTGACACTGTACGAGGGCACCTCACTCCTGAGGTCCCCCTTTCTTAGAGGATTTTATCAATCCTCAGTTGATGTCATGTGTAATCGTTAAGACATTCCCGCACAAGATCATTTCCTAAGATATCCCCTTCCAGGATCCACTGTGCTTACTGAGCAGGAGAAATTAAATTTGGGCAATGAAAATGCACAACAAACATTGCATTTAGCTTCTGGGCTTCAATCTCAGTTAGAGAATCACAGCCCCTACTCTGAGGATACGCCAGATGTGAACAGCGTTATAAATGAGTCACTGGATTGGCCAAGTGAATGCATGTAATGATCTATTCAGTGCATATTTCAGAGGAAAGGAAAGAAACATAACGAAGCGGGACATAACTCAGAGGTCGGTGCATCTGCAGGGAGAGTGTCTTTTATGGAACGCCTTTGACTCTGAAGTGCTGACTTGGGTGCCATCTAAGGGGTTCTGAGCCTCGGGCACAAGGTCAATGCCTCTTTGTAAGTGTCCCCTCCCCCAAAGGAGGAGTATCCTTAGAAAGGCTGCTTGGCTCCAGGACTTGAGGCTGAGGGGCAGGCAATGATGAAGTTTGACTAGATGTGAGAGATTCAAGCAGCCCCGCCAGGAGGGCATTGGCATGGCGGGCACGACATGCTTCTGGAAGACCTTCCTGGCTTTTTCTTTACCCCTGAGGCTCTAGGGGTGAAACAAACCTCGGTCATGATAACTAGGTAGTGAGAGAGTTACAAATATGCTCCCAGAAAATGTGTACTACCCTGGGCAGAAAGCGATGGCTGGAAGATGACCTGTCTCAGGCTTGATCATTCTCTCACCCAGTGGAGAATACAGGGTGGAAGAAAAATTAACATGCTCACATCGACTTTTCATCACAGTATGCTTGTGCCGTGGAAATCGGGCAATTCCATAGGAGTGGTGGGACGAGGTGCATCACACGGCAGCTGGTGCAGTAGGACACAGCACTCGGCGGAAGGAACTAGAATCCATTACAGTGAGTTCGGATCAGACGTAAAACAGTCTGCAGGACCTCTCCTCGGGAAGGGCTGGCATCCACCAGAAGGCAGCCAGGGTTCTGCATCCGCCGGTAGGACACTTCGACCCTGGGGACAGGCAGAACAGAAAGAGCTGACCTACTTTCCAACCCCACTCTCCATGCTCGGCTCATGTTGTTTTCCCACGGAAACATAAACAGCTCCAAGCAAGTGTCTATCTCCTGAGCTCACTGCTGCCCTTGGCAACGCGCTTTGCCACAGAAGACCAGTGCATTTTGCTTAGTGGATGATAAACTAATAATGCTGAGTCACTGGTGTTTGTTGAACACCCACTCTGTGCACTCCCCATGGCGCTTCACCTTGAGCACAGAGCAACCACAGGAAGCTACCATCATCCCCATTTAACCTTATCATACTCAGGATACGTAAGCTCATGTGTGTGCACGGGGGAGAGAGAGAGAGAGGAGAACCACCTTCAATGGAGTGTCATCGTGCTGCACCCCCTTCCAGCCCTCCAGCTCATCAGGATCTTGGGCATGCACGCACATCACTCCTGTTTCAGATTGTCCTGGCCAAGGATAAGAACCTGCGGTGGGCCATGTGGCTTCCAGCACTCCAGGTCAGTGTGTTACAACTACACCACAAGGCTGCAGTCTTACACTGCTGACTACACTGCAGAGGCCAGACCAATTTTTATCATTTATATTAGCATGTGATTGTGTTATGCTAACACTGCCACCATTGCTTATTTATAAAACCATTTCCATTTTGTTAAGAAGCAGAGCTTAGGACTGACCCCTACTCAGCCATGCAGCAGAAAGAGTGACCAACTTCTTCTGTTATGCAGTTCATAGCTTTCTAATGAAAACAAATGTGATGTTTTCAAAATCATGAAGATCTTGACTTCGATCCCAGTGCTACTGCTAAATAGCTGTGTAAACTCAGACCAGTCACTTAATCCTTAGTTTTGTAAACTGGTGGATACAGCTGAGCTTTTCCTGCAAGGCTGGCTGGTCGCACAGCCTCCTGAGCAGCACCTGGCCTGCAGTGAGCACCTGGTGGTAAATGTTTCCATGTGCTCAGTATATAGCTCTCTGTGTCCATTAGAGTGGCACTGGGGAAACTGAGGAGCAGAGACACATAGTGTCTCCCCCGGGCTTCCTGGCATAGCCAAGTTTATGGGCATTATGACAGTGACACCCACCGCTTTAGAATATAATGTTGCAGCCCCAGGCAGACAAGCTCCTGGAAGGCGCTGAAGGCCCTTAGAAAAAGCTGTCTCTTGTATCTGAAAAATGGAAAGGTCCTCTCCTCCACGTTCCTGAAGCCAGTATCCACCCGGCTTGCTCCTTGCAGGGACACCTGCCACTCACATCACCTGGGGGACACCTACTTTTGACGAAACACACTGTTGGCCTCAAGCTCAGCTTCCTCCCTGGTCTTCTCCAGGCCCCGGCCCTCCAGCCTCTGCGCTCTCTCCTCAGGGTTCACGGTGAGCAGTAAGACCAGGTCTGGTTTGAGCAGGTCCTCTGGCCACTGGTAGACAGGGTGGTGGGCGGGGGGCAGGTGCTGCAGACCCCCGCTCACCTCGGTGGCGATGGCGTAAGTGGCTGTACTGTGCCAGTACCTGAAAGGGAGGACACAGTGAGTTTTCTGTCTCTGGAAGAAGCTGAAGTAGCACCTGAGAGCCAGAGGCTGAGGACGCCGATACCAGGGAGCCTCTGCCCAAGCTTTTCTAGTACTGCATAAATTACATGGATAAGATGAGTTTTACGTGATAAATAATAATAAAATATATAAAAGGAGTAAAATTGACAACAGTCACACGCTGTAAGCTCTCCCCCAAAACTCCACTTACTCTATTATGATCATGCCCTTTCACAAGAGGACAGTGTTGCATCGCTTTGGCCTTGGGATGTGCTGTCTTCTATGAAGGATGGTGGTCCCAGTAGCAGATTTGATAGCTCATTTGTATTGAATGCTGTGTCTTGGCCGAGCAGAAATCTGGCAGGCCCTGTCACTCACTACGCTGTTTTAGGTTTGAACTTGCCAATGCAATGCATGCTCAGGGAACCGGGGCCAGAAGCGGCCTTCCTTCCCTGCTCTCCAGGCTAGGACTTAGCTCAGTGTCAGGCAG